GTCTCGTACACAGTAGAGCTGCTCCTTCACATCAAAAGGAGTCAGTTCAGGTGGTTTGGGGCATTTGTTTAAGATGCCTCCCAGATACCACCGTTTGGAGTTTTTCCAGGCATGTCTCTTTGGGAAGAGACCCCGGAGCAGACCCAGAACTCGCTGGAGGGATTGTGTATCTTCTCTGGCCTGGGAACTCCTTGGGGACCCCCAGGTGCAGCTGGAGAAAGTTTCTGGGGAGAGGGATGTGTGGGTTTCTCTCCTGGACCTGGACCTGTTGCTTCCATGRCCTGACAATGGCTGAGCGATATAAGACTGACGGGTTATCATTAATCCATACATAAAGTTTTATTTTAATATCCTTACAGGTAGTAGAATGACTCTGATAGCATAGTAGCATAATTCAGTTTTATGTTTGGATTTGAAAAGTTCATTTTACCAAAAATCTGAAAATCTGTCATCAACATAGACAATGTAGGGAATGATATATATTCATAACCTGCCGTCTTAATCATGTGATGTCATGTGATCACTGCTTTAAACTCTCCAGCATCTTCCTAAAAAAAAAGAAAGAAAGAAATCCCAAAATGTGCAATAAATCTACCTTATTGTACACAAGGAACACTTCAAGTCCTAAAGAATTCAGTTAAGTTTAGTAGTTTCTGCTTTACCCAAACAAGAGTTTTATTTTTTCAGGTTTTCTTACTCYTTGCTGATAATGGCGATATTCATACAGTTTTTACAATGAAAGCGTCCCAAGTCAATAGTTTATATAAAGCTCTGTGGTGCAGCCAGGAGTCACAAACTTCCTGCTTCGTGTTTGACTTTCTTTATTTTATTTTTTTTCCCAGCACAGGGTGTGCCTGTATACCCACAGGGGATGGAAAATTATTGGTGCATAAAGCTGACAAAGTTCAAAAAATGTGTTTAGTTTTCAAATGGGGCAATTGATTGCTAATTAGTTTTTTTTTTTAAAGAAATAAAACTAACCACTCACTTAGGGGTCTAAATGTCACAACCAAGCATGACAGCTTAAATCTAAAGGTTAAAAAAAATCCCACTTTATCTGCTTAGCAATTCAAATGCAAGCTTGCCTCAGCWGAAGAGATGATCAGCTGGCAAACAAACATCACACTGTGTGTCTGATGTTTGAATCACTCAAGGGTAGCACAATTTATCACCAGCAAGTTGGAGCAGCTCTGCATGTAGCGACAGAGACTCCTTTTCTCTGGTTTTGTTTTGGTTTGGTAGTGGTTTTAATCTGCTTCGTACGGCAGCATCTATCAGCCCAAGTTGATCTACGGAAGAGCAGAAGCCATCATAACCATGGAAACAACGGTGTCCCTGTAAGCGATGACTAAAGAGCCAGTTTTGAAATAAGTTTGAATAGAAAGACGCACACGAGACGCTCTCTGCTGAATAAAAATCAAATAAGTAAATGAAAGGCCTAGCATTCCTCGAAGTAACGACGGTTTCCTGCACAGAGTTTTAGACTGAGATCGTGTTGTGTTACGAAAAAGAGACATACTTATTTGTMGTTTTGGGCAAACCTTGTAGATACCCAATATACGATAGGTTGCGCTCAGAKTTTGTGTTATGGGGTTCTCTCAGCTGCTACCACATCAAGTTTTAGCTCAATATTTGTAAAAATGGTGACATTATAACTGTTTTTGAGTTGGTTAAAGTCGATTAGCTGTGGCGGTCATCTTGAATCGGATTGACTCAAAATGTGATCAGTCGCAGATGTGCATCCAATGGTAGTTTTCTGAAAGCATCATTAAAATTTGGCTAGTTCAAGAGATATTTTGCTAACAGACACAGACATAAAAGCGTTATAAGCTGCCTATTGACATTTTAGTGGTGGGTGAAAATGAATTAAGTTTTCAGAACTTTGACTATTCARCCTGAATTATTAATGCGCCCTTATTTTGAAAAGTTACACAGCAGGCGCTCACATTTAAGAAGCTGGCACTGGAGAATGGTCATTTTCCTTTAGAAATGACAAAATTATTTTGTTATTGGAAAAATATTTGAGCTGGGTTTKTAAGCTGCAAACTCAGTTTAGAGAGACAAGTTTTCACAGATGAACATACTTTTTTTAAAAACCACATTTCATCTTTATCTCTTCATAATCTCTTCCTACTTCGAATAGTTCCATTTTTTTCCATCTACAATACTCTATTTAGCTCTATTTTATTTAAATCTGCTCCCCATTCAGACCCTGTACTCCAGTTATATGAAGCCACGCCCATCCATTTGCATACCCGCATCTGATTGGCTCTTCGGCTTTCAGYAGGAATGTGTGCAGGCATGCAGCTGTGTGAGGAGGAAAACTACTCTTCTACTGTTTCATTGGGAAGTGTGTGACCACCTCAGCTTTTTTGCTTTCAAATGTAGTTCAAGTGGAGGCAAATCCAGCCRCACACCACCAAGAGTAGCCAAAGATCAGCCAAAAAACCTTTCTTGGCTGTGGCCCGGGTTTAGAGCTGKAGCTCAAGTTGATCCCCTCTTAACTAATAATGCAGCTTTATTATTTGCATTGAATTGTTTGAAAATAATATAGATAATTCAAATTATGTGGTAGATTTTGGTAGTGAATGATGCATTTTCAGTGGGTTTTTTTTTCAGGGAACAAATGGTGTGTGTTGACACCTAAAATGGCTTTAAACATTGTTCAAATCAAATCAAACTTTATTTATAAATCCTATATTATGCACAAAACAACCMTTTTAACACAGAGACGTATTCACCCACAGGGAGTGATAAAAGAGTGAAAACACAAGCAATGAAAGGAAGTTTTAAACTTAGACCTCCTCGTGTTGAGAAATGACCAAGTTGGGGTCATTTTTCAGTCAAACRTCAAAAAATTATTTGTGCGCGATTTCACAAGATGTCACGCTCAGTGACTTCCTCACAGCTCATCTTTTCATCCTCTTCCACCTGAAGCAGTTAAAAAGCAGCTAAATGAAAGAAGAGCAGTGAGATGCTTTGGGGCTCAGCTCGCTTTAATTACAGACAGGAGAGAGCCAGTCTCTGCATTTATAATTACCCCGTGCATATATCTTCCCCAGCTCTCTTTGTGTGGTTAACATCTCCCATCTGTCACCTATAATGACATACCTGTACTGAAATGAGCTACAAAAACTGTCGGCCATTTTTCTCCACTAATTTGACTCTGTTCCCAGCCGAGAGGGAAGTGTTTCAGGTTTTATTCACCATGACTCCAAGTCCGTCTTGTTTGAACACAGCGGTTCACGCGAAGAAACGCCTACAAGAAATAGATTTAGGAGAAAAATAATGATCTTCCTGTTCCGTTTCCCAGCAGTCATTGTCAGGTAGAGCAGGTGTGACGCAGATTGTGACGCTGAAGAAAATAGGCTGAACGCTGACTTATTTATTTATTGCCTGAATGATGGGTTGGTGGGACACAAAGCCGTGACATGAACTGAATGCATCGTTTAAATGACAACARCATCTTTCAAAGCAACAGCTGTTCAATCCCTTTGTGTGTTAGCGAAATMTCTCATGAACCACTGGATGGATTTTGACGAATCTCAGGAAGAAGTCATTGGATTGACGTCAGGTCGATTTCAGATTAGCAAGCACAAAGAAAATAGCCACAGCTTTGTCAGTTTTACAGATATTGAACTAAACTTTGGCGTGGTAGAAGCCGGGACTTATCCCTAACACAAACTCAGAGAGCTACCAGATTGTGCCATTATTTTTCTAAAACTTTTACATGCAAAATGGCAGAAATGTGTGTTCCTGTAAGGGAGGCTGGTTTGCACTTTCTGTAACAGCTTAGTTTGACAAGGCACTGAACAGAAGGCTGTTTTCTGTGTCTTTATAAGCTAACCTCTTTAAGATCGACAACTAGCGCAGAAAGAAAGCAAATCAAGCTTCAGGCTGTTATTACCTAGCTTATACATGACAGAACGACTGCAGTTGGGGGGCCTTGTTGCTGCTGTGTTAATTATAAGATAYGAGGAATGTTGGGAGCCTCTGATCATTTTCATCATGCTTTACTGCAGTTGTGACAGTCTGGTTTCCCACACCGTGGACTGCAGTGACATTTATCATGTACTTCTGACTGTGTCATTCAGGACCTCCCAACTCACGTGAGCTCCACTTGCAGGTACTTGCACTATAAATACACTGCCTGGCCAAAAAGCAAGTCGCCACCTGGCTTTAACTAAGATCTATGATGTGAGGTTGCTGCGGTTGGTYAGGTTCAGCAACAGTTTGTGTACAAAGAATGAGATCAGCTGACTACCTGAATATACTGAATGACCAGGTTATTCCATCAATGGATTGTTTCTTCCCTGATGGCACGGCCATATTCCAAGATGACAATGCCAGGATTAATGGGGCTGTGAAAGAGTGGATCAGGGAGCATGAGACATCACTTTCACACAAAGATTGGCTCCACAGGGTCCATTGAGAACCTTTGGGATGTGCTGGAGAAGGCTTTGTGCAGCGGTCAGACTCTGCCATCATCAATGCAAGATCTTGGTGAAAAATTAATGCAACRCTGAATGGAAATAAATCTTGTGACATTACAGAAGCTTATCCAAACAATGCCACAGCGWATGTGTGCCATAATCAAAGTTAAAGGCGATCCAACAAAATATTAGTGTGTGTAACCTGTTTTTTTGGATCGTGACTTTTTTTTTGGCCAGGGAGCGTTATGAAATATAATTCCATTCATTGGAAAAAGGYTAAAAATGGCAGTATTCTTAGAATAATCTGACGTTTAAAGCTAATTTTGGTTCATATAATTATTTCAGTGTTTCTGTCTGCACTATTTAGGAGACTTCTCATGTTACTTTTTTTGACCAGACTTGTGTAAATTTGACCCTTTTTTTAAAGGAGCAGAGTTAAATGCCTCATTCTAGTGCAGCAGGAGTACAAGGCTTCTCTGTCAGGATAAATGCAGACCGTTTTTGAGCGCTTGTTTATGAACGAGCGAGTATTCACTTGTGTGGACTGGTGTGAGCATCTTTCTAAAGAGCTGACGATTCCAAGTTTGTGACATTTGATTGTTGAACCAGTTAAAGAGGCTTCCAAAGAACAGCAGCTTGCACGTGTCCTTTTCCTGCTTTTTACAGATTAAAATGTGTAAAAAAAAATAAAGGTGGTTCGATCTGTGTAATCACAAACCTTTCTGTGACATTTGCTCAGATGTGTTGTTCCATTTGTTGCTCAGCATCTGTTTTTTTCCCCTCGTGTGTTTGTGTTTGCAGGTTGCACTTGTTTTCATTAAGCAGCTGGATGTGTCCCAGACTTTCACCGCAGATACACTCGACCCCGCGCAGACACAGAAACACACACACGATGTGATAATTCATGTGCAAGACAGATTTAAATCCAAAATTAGAAATTCTAACAAAACCGATGAAATAAAAGTCAAATCAGACAAGAAAATGTTTGCATCACTTTCACTTAATGYATGTTATTCCAGGAATAAGACATTCAAACCTTTTTTCTTTTTGCACATGTTGCTAATTTAGTTAAGTTATTTCTCTCAAAGTGCCCGTCTGAGGAGTCTCCAAGTGGAGTGTGTTTGACTTCCATCCAACCCATGTGTATCTGCCTTTTTTATGCTTTCTGAATGTTTGCTCAAGAACACGATGACTCATGGTGTGTGTGTGTGTGTGTG